AACTAATTATCCCAAGTTTGGTGGTGTTTTGGTTGAGGGTTTTTTTTAATATAAATTTTTATTTTTTAAAAACATGTGAAAGAATGTTAGGAGGTCAGGTTGTGGAAGTTCCTATAAAGTGGTGGCTTTTTTCTAGACGGAGTTTTAGTATTTCGTCACAAAATTTCACTGTATAAAGTATTTAATCTTTCTCCTTTATATGGCCATTGAGCTCTCACTTCAGAGCACTAGCCCTTTCCTTCCTACATGACTTCAAAGAAATCCACTTTTTGTTGTAGTTGATTAAAAAAAAAAAAAAAAAAAAAAAGAAAGAGAAATACAGACCCTAATGTACATTCTTGGGTGGGGAAGCTAATAGAAAGGGAGCATTTTTGGAAAATGAAAGGTTTGTATCTGAACTTGTAATTCAAATCTTTCTTTCAGGACAATATGTATTCTCTGAGTGCCTTGCTAAACCTCATAACCTTTTGGAAAACAGAAGACTATTAGGAAAAACAGTATTGAAGATGGAGATGATACTTTCTTATGCTTTGAATAGAGGCCCTGTTTTTTAGGAGCTGTCCCAGAAGTTTCTGCAAACGCATTGAATTGCTTTGAAGACAAAAAGATTTAATTGTCTGTGTTTTACTAGTTCTGGTCCCAAGTCAGTATTCTCAAAAGTGTAAAAACTGCAGCGGGCAGTTAGCAAAACTTTTTAGGATGAAAAAATTGGCCAATGTTTGAAGTACTTGCAGTGGAAGGAGTTAAGGCAGAAGAGCTGTTGTAGGCTGTGAGTGGAGGCGATGCTTCAAAGCTACTAGGCCTTGCTTTGCACTCTCACCTCTAGCATTATACTGTTCCCTCCTTTAGCCCCAATAACATTATTTGTCAGATCTAGACAAGAGATAGGTAAAATTCAGCCTCGACAAAATGTTCAGCTTTTACCTCTCTTTGCTATAAGATTGCTGGGTGTGGAGGGGAGTGAAAATGAGAAGCATTTTCAATCTTTGCTTTGTAAATCTTTGATCTGATGAAATTAAGTCAATATTAGTTGGGACTTTGGGTCACTGTAATATGAACCAGGCAGTGAATCAAGAAATTTGATTGTTTTGCAGGCAAGAGTGTATATGAGTGCATAGAATTGTCTTGCTGGTTGTGCTGTTTTCTCTGCATCAGGCACCAGCTTGCCTGGAAGGTAGATAAGAGTCCAGGCAGTTATCAGCCATCTGCAGAGTATCGAGAACAGTGATGTGTATATGAAATATTTGTTAAATAATAAATGCCTAAGAATTGTTAAAAGAAAATATGAAGTTAAATGCAACAGTGAGATGATCAGTTTTTGTTTGAATTGTTTTCTTTCATGTATCTTTTCATCTTTTGCTTCATTCTGCATAGTGCTGATTGCAAGGTGAAAGTAAGTAATCAATGGCTGAAAAAAGGTTGCTTGCATCCCCTGAGAGGTCAGGAATGTGCCTGTTAGAAGTTTCAAAATACCATATTTTCTGAAAAAAATATAACCTTTTTCTGAATAATGAGAAGGGCTTTTCCAGAATAGCTGAGTAACAGTTTTGGGTTTTGGCAGTCTACTAGTTTGAATAAAGTATGTATTTTTAACTGCTCATCAGAGTGGCTTCTTGTTGTATAAGTGAAAGCAAACGTCCTTAAATGTTTCATAAGCACTATTGTATCTGTCTACATCTTAGACTTGTGTGACTGACTTTTTGCACCCGTATGGGATGCTGCTGCAGGTCTGGAGAGATTACTTGGTGTAGTGTAGCTGACATTTTCCCTGAATTCAGGAGAAATGCAGGGTAGCACACAGGGTTATCTTTTTAGAGGTGAATACTACTTGGATTAACTTGTCTCCTTCTGTGAACAGATGCCATTTCTTCAGTAAGTTCTTCATTGCACCTTATGCTAAGTACTGAGGGGAAAAAACCTAATTTTTGCTTCTTAGTGTTTTCAGTATTTTTACATGTTAGAAATTGTTGCAACATTACACCCTGAAATTTGTTGTCAGAACTAATTTCAATGTGATTTCAATAAAATTAGTTTTTATAATACATTGTTCCAGCCAAGACACTGATTTGTAAATTGGAAAATTGGCTATTGTCTTTGGACTTGTTTGATGATGATACTAAGTGGGAATGTTATGTTTGAAACTCTAAGGCTTTCACAAGCCTTTATAACCTAGATATTGAACTTTTGTCTTACAATTAAGAGAGAAATAAAACCTTTGGAGAATGGTATTGACACCCAGCAGGGAATACAGCAGCTGCAAAAATTTTTACTCTGACATGTTTCTTGGCCAGAAAATGTCATTAAGTACCATCTTTCCCTTATACCACTTAATTTGAAAATAAGAAACAGTGGGTGTGTAACATAACTGCATTTTGGCATGTGACTGGTGTGTGTTAGCTGTGTTTCTGTTACTTCTCTTGCTCTGGAACAGAAAAAGGATTGCCATGAAGACCTTAGGATGTGTAGAGATTGAGAGATTCCAATTATTGCTATTCTACTTGCTGAATTTTACAATCAACCTTCTCAGCAATAAACCTGTTTATTACTAATAAATGAACAGAGATTGTTAATATCTGCAGGAAGTTCATCACATGCTCTGAAATTTGGCATTAGTGCTTCTGATACTCTTTAGTTATCAGTCAGATATAATAGATCCATTAACACTCACAGCAGCCTACAAAATAAGATATTTGAAGGCTTTATCTCCTTTCTAAAGCTCCAAGTACAACACTTACAAGGTTTTGTGAGTAGTGCAGACTGCATGATGACATTATAGGGATGCTGCACATAAGATTGTCTTTCACTTTTTGGCATCACTATTGTATATATAAAAATCATATTTGTTTTTAAAGTGTAAGAAACATAGTACTGGCACCTGAATAAACTGTTATACTCTTAGTAATTTCTGTAATGTAAAAAATCTGATTTAGAAAAATGCCTTTTAAGATGGCTAATACCTTAAATTAAAGGCAATTTTTAAAAGTTTATTTAGGGGTTTATGTGTTGGAAAAACCTGTAAGAAATGCTTATGTAACAAGTGCTTAGACTTATACATCAGCCAGCTGGTATATCCAGATCTTTTTTTTTTTTTTTTTTTTTTTACTTTTTGGAGGCATTTGTGAGTAGCTTGATGTTTTTGACATCTGTGTGACAGCTTCTTGCATAAGAGATGAGCAGCGTGTTATACCACCCAGCTGTGTGTATTAGTCTGTACATCAAGCTGAAGAGCGGCACTTAGCCAGATCTGACAATCAAATGTGAACTAGTACTACCTATACACAAGAGTGCATTTTAATGTTGTGTGCTTTTTGCCAAGAGGCTGGTACTTGACAGAGAAATTGTCAGAATCTTTCCCCACCTCTTTTTTTCCCACAGATGTGAGTCCATGTTGAAATATATTATTTTTTTCCTGCAATTTGATATGGTTTACCTTACTGATAAAAAAGCTAATCTAACAAAAATACAGAAATTTTATTTTTATTAAGAAAAATATGGAAAATGTACTTTAGGGAAAATCAAGCATTTATCTTAGCAATTTCTTAGTGGTCATGTTGACTAAACATTGGTGGAGATCTGAAGGGGCTACAGAAAGGCTGGGAAGGGACTTTTCATAGGGGCTCTTAGTGATAGAACAGGGGTAATGGCTTTAAACTGGAAGAGTGGACATTAAGATGAGATCTGAGGAAGAAATTCTTCACTGTGAGGGTGGTGAGACGCCGGAACAGGCTGCCCAGAGAAGCTGTGGCTGCTCCTCCCTGGAAGTGTTGAAGGCCAGGTTGGATGAGGCTTTGAGCAACCTGGTCTAGTGGAAGGTGTCCCTGCTGATGGCAGGGGGGTTGGAACTGGGTGAGCTTTAAGGTTCCTTCCAACCCAAACCATTCTATGATCAAGGTACAAGGCAGACATATTTCTGAAGAACACTAGACCAACATGGATTTTCATCAGTGTAATAAGGATTGATCATCTCTAAAAGAATTTAGGAGGAAAAATACTCACATGCTCTGAAGCTACCTAACTGGAATTACTGCTTTCTAAGTGGAGAAGCTACCATGAATTTTTGCATACTTTTCCTTATTTAATTTTCCAGAATTAAAGGTAGTAAGAGAAATAATTGTATGTTTGTGTCTTTTTAATACAACTAGTTTTATACTTGGCTACTTGGCTGTTTATATCTTGCTTTTTAGTCTAATTTCCTGTTTCATTTTTACCCCTGCAAAACAGAAAAAAAAGCTTCTTGAAGAACTTGGAGAGAATAGACTTCCATATGTGACACCAGCCGATGCCGATTTCCATCAGTTGGTAATGTATTTTTTAACTGTACTTATTTTAAACTAAAATAGCTGTTTGCACTGAACAACAAATAAATCTTTCTTCAAAGAGACCCTGTGAAATCTGGTAGGAAAAAGGTATCCCAATGGCTGATAAAGTTAATGTTCTTCCAGGTGGTTCAAAATAAGACCTCTAGAATTGGGATATTCAAGAATGAAAACTTCATGAACTTTAGTTATTTTTAGGTTTTTGTCCTGAGTAGCAGGTAACACATGTAACAACCAGAGAATCACAGTTTCTTATGCTTTGTTAAAACAAGTACATCACCATTCTTTTAATTTTGGGGGGGATTTTTTGTTTTTCTGAGTTGTGAAGAGAACTATTCTTTATAGCTTAGGTTTGGCAAAACAAGGAAAATATTAACATATTGTGGCTTAATTCTGCTTTCAAACAATAAGTAACCCCTAAGACATTGCTTACAAAATGAATTTATGGAAACTGAAGTACAAATTAAACCAAATAAAAGTAAAACCAGGCACATATCACACTATGGAAGAGGAAAGATGCATTTATGGGTCAGGTACTGGACTGCAACTCGGAAGCATGAAGTCAAACTCCAGTTTTGCCTCAGGATTACAGTTGTGATACTGAGCAATCTGTATACTTCCCTCAACCTCTCTTGTTCATTTGGGTGGTAGGATGCTTAGGTGAAGTGTGGTTGTATCCTGTATTCTTACAGTGCTGAACATAGTGGACATAAGCTCTTGATTGGGATTCTGAACAGCTGTAAGGATAATAATATGAAAACGTATAACTTGCTGTTAACTATAAAAGCACTTCAGTGGGTAAGGGCAAGGAAGTGTGTAGAAGAGTTTAACAGAATGATTTTGTTTTTTTTTTCCTTTACAAAAAAGGGCCATTCTCTTCAGTCTTGAACTACTGTTCAAGAAGCTCTTCCCCCTTTTGAGACTCGAGTAGCTTACTCTTTTCTTCTTCCTAGTCCTGTTGCATCCCCTCCTGTTTGTTCTGTTCATTTGTATCTGTTGCTGCCAGGAGCTGCTATGCCAAGCATCTCTTTCTGTTCTCCATTTTTGTAAATCCACAGTCTCATGGAGCTGACATGAAAAGAGAAGATGGAACCAAGATTGCCCAAGTGGCATCTCATTTGCTCAGTATCAGTAACCCATAAATGTAGAAGACAATGGGAACAAGATGAGCAGTGAAATCAGACCTCTTCAAGCCTTTATAGAGTTTAGATACATTCTTTTCACATAATATGAAATTATACCTTTTGTGTAATGTTTGTGTGCATGCTAGGTATTTTTAAGTATATTTGGTAATCATATGCATCACAAGCACCTTTTACATTCTTATGGTGCTTATGAAATGTTACTTCAATCACAGCTGTAGATATTACAAGTTCCATTATTCTTAAATGTAGTACAGATGGAGAGGAAAAGAAAGATAAGAGCTTGAAGACAACAAATTGGCAAAATAAAATATCACATACAGTTTAGTTTTATAAGTCTGTCTTTCCAGGAGAGACTTGCCTTACTCCTTTAAGGATCCACCTGTTACAAAGCAGTACTCTTTGAATGTGTTGGAAAGGTTAGGTAGGATGCAATTAAAAAACTACAGTATCCTGTTGGGTATGGAAGTCTGCAGCCTGTACAAAATTCCCATCATAAGCAAAACTTCACTGACATCCTCTTTCAACACATCTTTCCTGATGAGAGATTTTAGGAATCGGCCCCAAGGCATAGGCTGAAACAATGTAATGTTTAAGGCCAGTTAAGAACAAGAAAGCCTGTTAACAAGGCAGTTCACAAATATCTGAAGTACAAACTATCATTTCATTATTTAAGTGTCAGTTTGCTTATCAAGTGCCCTTATTCCTGATTTCTAACTTTATTCTGTCACTGGAGTCATCGTGTAGAGTGCTTGTCTGTGTTGAGCAGCACCATTAGAACTGAAGGCATGTCTATATTCAAAGTCATGTGTGTAACATTCATATGAAAAATTGAGCATCAAATGTGCTTTTTTTTTTTTCATCTTGCAGTTGCCAGTAATGTACCTTCTTCTTTCAGAGTGAACAGTGAATTGACCTTTAATACTTGCTGTCAGAGTAACAACACAGAGTACATGATTACATCCCCTTCCCCATCCCCCAAAACAACAAGGTGTCCCGTGTGAACCCAGTGCTCACCCTGTGTTCTGATCCCTTAATGCTTTCCTTATGTACGACATAGCACAATGACTGGTTGGAGATTTAAAGAAGACCAAAGTGTTTTCATGTGATGTGTCAGATATGTTTCCACTTCCTGATTTCTTCTGAGATATCAGTGTGGGTTTATGATGAGTTTCTGTGGTTTGTTTTGTTTTTTTTAAGGTAGAATCCTAAGTATACTGTGTAAAACTTAATGATAAAATAGTTCTTAAGCATATAATCTTAAAACACAACCCAAAAGTAATGTGCCTCTGACTTGGCTGGCAACAAAATGTGGAACACATTACCTCTGCAGTTCAGGAGGGGAATACAATGTTGTTACCTCTGTAAAATCTGTGTGCTTCCTTTCTAGTGCATGTTTTCAGGCATTTAGTTGCTTTAGATCACATTGTTATTTCCCTCCTTCTGTTTGTAAGAATTTTTAGGAATTTCTTGTGTGCGATTCATGTCAGAAATTCCGTATATTAAATGTTTTAAAAATATGTAGTAATAATGACTTTTTAAATATGCCATAATAGCATATGTAATGTGGTAATTGGTTAATCTGACCTGAATATGTCCAATATACGGAATTATTTAAAGTAATATTGGGATACTGATATAGAACCGTTAGTGCTCTTTCTTTTATACATATCATTTGCATAATTAAACAAATCATGAAGTAATAATCCTTATATGTCACAACATATAATGCTCTGTCATTATTTCAATTGTGAAAGAATGTTTATGATTCCCATCAACTTACACCCACTGTATTGGGTTTGTGTGGTAGCGGGGGGGGGCATAGGAGTGGCTTCTGTGAGAAGCTGCCAGAAGCCACTGCAGACTAACTTCTGGACAAAAGGAAATAGATGTAGTGAGTCATTTGGAGCTTTACACGTAACTGATACCTGATAGGCTCACATCACAGCCTTTCCCTTTCTCAGGACACTAGTTTGTGTCTGTTTGTTTATCTATTAATTTTAATGAAATACATAGGAACTTTGTGTATCTGAGAACTTAACTCTCCAGCCTTTGTCCAGTTTCCCAAACAGTCTCAGTAGTAGTTAAAGCAGATTTACAGGCAACCAATAGAAGGTGTGATTATGTGATACTCACTTCCTTAGAAAAACAGATTAACAAAATTAAATTACCCAAGCCTTCCTGGAGTGGGAAGCAGTATTTTGCATACAGAGCAAGGTAACACTGATTAGCAGCGTTATACCTTGCTGGGAGTTGTTGCTTCCACACACTGCTGGATTCTGAACTCCATCTGAGACCAGAGCTGGTGTGGTCAGAAGGGGTTATGAGGAAAAAGGATATTAGAGGTGGTGAGATGGGGAGGAAAATAAATTTGGAAATTGTCTTTTATCTAAAAGGGGAACTTTTATATAAAAATAGGAAAGCTAATTGGCATGCATTGAGGAATGTGAAAATAGAAGGGACCAATATGTCAAGGATTAGTTTGACGATAGAGCTGCAGTGTAGCAGGATATTGGCCTTTTTTGAAAATTTACATTTTCCTTTTGTTATTTTTGCCCTAAATATTGTTGTTGTATAAAACTATTTCAGTTTATCATGTAGCTCTGTAGAATTCTGTACATCAGAATGAGACAGAACGGTCTTTTCACCCATTATATTAAGAAGAGTCACTTTGTTACTGCTTGATATTCTACTGTTCATATACTTAAAGGGCAGCATTATCTACAGATTCATCAGGGGAGCTTAATCAGTTCTCTTGATTTCTGCCTGAATGCTCAGATTTATTTATTTAGATATTTACTCTGCTGATACTCTCTGGTTACAGGCCACTGATACTTATCCACAGTTTATGCCATATATTGGAATATGAAAATAAAGTGACAAATACTGGTAAAAGTAACAAATCTACTTTGTTCATATTCTAGACTCATGCTTGATAACTTGTCAACTTAACCTTATCTGTTCTTGAACATGTGATCCTGTAAAAGAATAATTATTCTGATTTTTTTTTTTTGTTTTTTCTCCTTTAGTGGAAGACCAAATATTCCAAGTTGATTTTCAGAAAATCTGATACGGTACCTGAAGAGCTCCATCAGCAGGTACAAGAAAGCTTTCTGACCTTGCAAAAACACAGTTGTTTTTTTCAAGATCTTGTAAGGATCAAAGGAAAAGATTTTCTTACCCCGGTGTCTCGTATATTAATTGGAAACCCAGGATGCACTTACAAGTACTTGAACACAAGATTATTTACAGTTCCTTGGCCTACAGAAGGTTATGATATAAAATATTGCAGTCCTCAAATCCATGATGCTTGTAAAGCATTAATCAGACTTAATGACTACTTGCATATTGAAGCAGTCAAGGCATTACAAGGACAACATTTATTTGAGACCAAAGAAATTAAAGACACTACTGTAATAGATAGGGAGCAAAATTTTGCTACTTCTCTTACAGAGAAAGGGTCCATTTCAAAAGATCAAAGCAGTTGTGTATCAGAGGATGACTATGTAAGTCTAAAGAACAGAACATCTTACAACTTGACTTTATTAAATTATATGGATCCACTGCAAATGCTGTACTTGAAACAAGAACCTTATTTTGGAATGGGAAACATGGCAGTGAGCTGGCACCATGACGAGAATCTGGTTGAAAGGTCAACGGTTGCTGTGTACAGTTACAGCTGTGAAGGTGAGTGAAGGAAGGTATGAGTTGACTAGTGATATAAATATCTTAAATCCCTCAAGCTCTTTTATGTTTCCCTGTGTGTGTACATAAGCACACCTGCATGCCAGTCTAGGTTTGTCACATGCTTCTGAATATATTGTGGCACTTTCTGTATTTAAGCCCTATCTATTTCTGCTAAAACCTGTACAAAATATGCCTGTGTTTACTGCAGCTAGATTATTAGTTCTCTAAGTAGATATAAAAGTTGGCATGATTAACTTCTTGACTAAGAGCCAGGAAATCAAAATCTGTCAAATATCTATTTCAGGTTAATGCATGTGCATGTTTTGTGTCCTGTGAAATGTTTCATTTTAGTTGAGATTGCTGCCTTTACTTTTCATATACAGGCTTGCTTCTGCTTTATGCCAATTTTACTACTCTTCTTTCTTTGGAAAGATCATTTTAGGTCAGTTTGGTATAAAAGTATTACTGTATTTACTTGGAAGTATATACATTTTGTCTAGGCATACTGTAGTGCTAATACATGTTTTGTGGAGGACTTGGCAACATTTCTATAGTTGGGAAGTGTGGAAGTTTTCCACTAAAAGACCTGCTGTCTGACAAGCTTTGTAGACTTAGTTATTTATAAACCATTTAAATGAAGTATTGCGGTGGAGGGGAAGTGTACTGAAGAGTCATTAAATATTTAATTTTTAGTTTAAAGTACCTTTTCCATTTTTATCTTTATTTAAGAATTGATATGATTTTTTTTTTTTCCTAACAATTATTGAAGCAAAGCATTGGAATTTTTTTAATGACTACCAGTTTTACAAACATAAGACTAGAATTTAGACACTTAATTTGAATTTGCAAATGATCAGTTGTGTTTCATAATTCACAACTGATTTTTGATTCTTCCAAAAATCCTTTGATGTTTGCTTCAAAACATGGGAAGAATTCATGTTGACTTTGGTAGGTTTTGGCTAAAGACCATGCTGTAAAAATAATAGCTTATGCTTTCATGTGCATTCCCTGGTTAGTTTTGTTATTAGTCTTGAAACTATGGGTCACTTTCTTACTTAATGTTCAGCTGAAATAATCATATTTACATTTTCCTGGACATAAAACATCAACTTACTTAGCAAACTGAATAGAAGAGACCAGTGGAAGGGTCATTTGGTTCATGAACTTTTTTCTGTCCTATTTGCCAAAGATGTTGGTATTTTATGTCCAATAAATGTCTTTTTTTTCAGTAGTACTGTAGGTAAATATTTTTTCAGTAACATTTTAAGTTAAAGAAACAAACATGAACTTGAAGTAATAATAGTGTGTGAGGATTTATTTGTAATATACTTGAAAACTTTTTACTTTAACATAAAACTTTCTTGTGGAGGGGAAAAAATGAGTCCCTTTAAGTTCAGAGAGCTGTAAATTAACAAAAAAGAAAACTGCTGTGTTTATTCATAATTTGTCACTTGATTTTGTTTCTTAAAGTTCAGCAAGTTAGATAAAAATTATACTGATTTAAAACCACTGTAAATTCTATGCAAGATTTGATTGATAAGAGTACAAATAAATATTTTATATATTTAGACCAAAAATTATTTTGACATCTATATGTAACTGGTTTTGCTACATACAAGATTTTTTCATAAATACACTTAAACTTAAAAGTTTATACTTTTTCCTGAGGGATTTAAAAATAGACCTGAAAACTTAAAGAAGACAAGAGCTTTCCAGTGAATAAATTGACCATTGTATCATTTACATTTACCAAAAAAAAATTTAAAAATAATACAAATTTTTGTAGCTTTGCAATGATTACAAAAGTTTTTGATCAAATTGAAATTTGATTATTTATGGGGGAAGGTCATGAAATAGCTTGGCAGAAGGTGACAATATTAAAATGTCAGTGTAGTTGGAGGTAGTGTAAAAGATACTTTTTTGGGAATAAAGTGATCTGTGAAGTCAGATCTAAACCTGAACAAGATTGAATTCCACTTGACAGCTCTTGAGCATGGCTCAGGTTGGTTTCATGAACTTCAGAGGGAGTTTAGAGTGCCTTGCTTGGCTTCTGAGCATCATGAGGACATGTCCTGTAGTATACCTTGTGTGAAAACAGCTCACTCACATCTGTCTGTGGTCAGGTTGTGGTTGTCATTGTGTATCTCTGTAGTTGACCTACTTATTCATAAATTGGAGAAAATGGAACCTGCTTATAGTTTATGAATAGGGCATTGTAATTAAAGTGACAGTAAATCCTTCTGTGTATTAAAGTTTTCTACCCAGCACATCCAAGAGGAGTAATTTGTCTACTTGATTGTAGAGAAATAAATAGATTCTCTTTTTGCTTTTCTTTTTTCCTGTTTATGGCTTTCCAGTGCTGGTGGTTATAAACTTGTCAGCGCTTATAATATTTTTCTTTCCCGTTACATATCACT